AGCATGAGTCTCAAGGCAGACTTGCAAGCTTAACAACTTAGGAAGGAAAAGGAAGTTGGCTAAGAACAGCACTGACTGCCCCACCTCTGCAGAACCCTCTCAATCCAATGAACACTTCCCTTTCAAAATAGTCATAATGTTTGGGCCAAAACATACTTTGGGTGCTTAAGTCTGGTCCTCCAAATGGCTGTTGTGGTGGTTGGAATCCCCCATGAGGACCAGGGCTTGTGAATGTGAGGTTTTTCTTCTATGCCTGTGGAGGGCTTCACTGGCTTGGTCTTCCTGGGGAGGTGGCCTGTAGCAGGCTTCCACTATAAAGTTACCTGTGCTTGCCCTCCCTTTAATCCTCACCCATAAGCTTTAAGTTAGCTCGTTGTCCATTCCAGGTGGAGCTCCATGCATTCCAGATAGTCACTGACAGAAAGGTCACCTCTTCCTTGTCTCCCCTGCCTGTCCTTCCTGAGGAGACTATCCTTCCATTCCAACACTCCAGTCATAGGAGTTGCCACCATGTTTCCATGATGCCAATAAGATCATTGACCTGCAGGTATGCATATGACTCTATGACTCTACTTTATTCCCTTTGCTGGATGTGTTAGCATAGAGGCATTTAAGTTGGGCCCCTCCAGTGAAAATTACTTTCACTCTGGAGTGGCTGGAATGCCTTTGTCCTGCCCTCCAGGTGTTCTGCTGACATGGAGTCCTTCTCCAGACTGGGTTTCTCTTGCTGGCTCTGGCACCTAACTGATAGAAACAGGATGGCAAGTCACTCCACAGCTTATCACTATTAAATAGGATGATACCTCCCTTCCCCAATCATAAATTGTTTAAAGCTGTATCAATGACTTCTGCTAACCCTTGACCAAAGACCCTCTTCGCCTTTTGAGAAAGATGATGCTTCTGATCACATTTGATTCCAGCTAGAATGGTGCTATCTTAGCTGTCCATTGTCAGCCCAAAATTTTGGCAGTGACATGAGTCTCAGAGCCACATGTTAATAGACTTGATCCATCTGTTTCTTTCAATCACTACCCGCACATGAAAGAATGGAGGAAAAAATAACCCGTGCCCCTGATTCCCTCACCAGTTGTCCCAAGGCCTTGAAATCTCTTTTGATGGCCTTTGGACTGACTACATATTGTGGCTTTGATCACCACTCTTATGAAGGATCAGCAGTGCGTTGTAGGCTGAGCACTGTACCAGGGAAATTTCCTGCTTATGTCCTTAACCTTGACCCCATGAGTGTGTAAACTTCCTTGAGGGGAGTATCCTTCCAGCATGTTGGACCTTCTGTTCCCCTTAGAAGGGAACCATCTACCACTACAACAATTATTTTCTTCCTCATGGAACTGATGTTGTTATGAGCTGTAGGCATGTCTGGCCTTGATAACACCTCTGGTGGAGAGAGACCTTCATCCTCATCATCTGTTGCATGACCTTCCTTATCTGTAACTATTGTACAGAGAGGCACCTAAAGGGAGGGTGAGATGGGCAAGGAGGCATCTTGCCTGTTGTCCCAAGCAAGGACTTGCCTCTGTTAGTTTCATTCTGGCCTTCAGGCAGAGGGAGGTTACAGGACCTTCTCCTAAGAAATGATAGAGAGCAAGTAGTTTTGCTACTTGAAAACTACTACTACTACAACTACTAAAGGAACTAATTTTACTTAAGTGTGTCTTACTGGGATCTTGGGTTAAAAAAAGTTAAGACTCCCTCATCACTCAGTAGGCAGGTCTTTTTGAGAATACAGTCCATGACATCCAAAAAGTCCAAGATGGAAGGGCAAGGGTGATATGGGGAAGAGAACAGTTTTTACCAAGACACACCCACACTTAGTTTGTTATGTTTCTTTGTTCACCCCTTCCAACTTCTACCCCTTACCCCTTTATCCATCTCTCTTTAAAATTCTCTCTTCAGAGTTATTATCTACCTCTTCTTTCAGATGAGCACGTAGATAACTTGTATTTGAAATCTGCAGCTTGTATTTTGGACCAGAATGGCATGTGTGCCTGAAGGTCGTCTCTTCATTTTCCTGCTTTCTTCTTTTCCTCTGCTGTGGATCAAGTGACCTGACAGGATTATTTGCAAAACTGCCTTGCCTGATCATCAAACTCCTGCTAGAAAAAGGAACTGATGCCAAAAGAAAAAAATCAAAAAGTTACGATAATCTGAACTGACAGATAAAATTTAAAACACTTAAAATGCGTGCATTTACTATTGGGAATATGAATGCAAGATGGCTAGTTTCGTAAAGGATGGTGGTCTGCCTAATTCTCCTCTTGGTTCAGTAACTGCCTGTACTGGGTTGACCCTGGCTGGATGCCAGGCACCCACCAAAGCCACTGTATCTCTCCCATCTACATCTGGATAGGGGAGAGAAAATATAAAAAACAGTTCATGGATTGAGATAAGGACTGGGAGAGATGGCTCATCAAATACTGTCATGGGAAAAACAGGCTGGAATTAGAGGTATTAGTTGAATTTATTAGTAACAAAATCAGAGCAGGATAATGAGGAGTAAAAATAAGACCTAAAAACACCTTCCCCCTACTCCTCCCTCCTTCCTAGCTCTACCTCCTGTCCCCCATCAGTGCGGGAAACAGGGAATGGGGTTCTGGTCAGTTCATCACAAGTTGTTTCTGCCACTGCTTAAGAAGAGGAGTTGTTCCCCTGCTGCATCATGGGGTCCCTGCCATGGGAGACAGTTCTCCATTAACTTCTCCAACATCTTAGTCCATCTCATGAGCAACAGTTTTCCAAAAACTGCTGCAACAGGGGGCACTGTTAATGAGGTGCAGTCCCTAAGGACAGGCTGCTCTAGTGTGGGTCCCCCACAGGGTCACATCCTACAGGAAACCTGCTCCAGCATGGGCTCTTCTCTCCACAGGTATGCAGGTCCCTGCCAGGACCCTGCTCCAGCACAGGTTTTCCACGGGGTGACAGCCTCCTCTCAGGCATCCACCTGCTCCAGCCTGGGGCTCCTTCACAAGCTGCAGGTGATCTCTGCCTCCCCATGGACCTCCGTGGCTGCAGGGGCACAGCTGCCTCACCATGGGCTGCTGCACCAGGGGCTGCAGGGGAGTCTCAGCCCTGGTGCCTGGAGCAGCTCCTCCTCCTCCTTCTGCACTGACCTCGGTGCCTGCAGAGTTGTTCCTCTCACATGTTCTCACTCCATTCTTTTCTGGCTGCAGTTACATCTGCATAATCACTTTTTTCCCCCCTTCTGAAATCTGCTATTACAGGAGTGTAAGCACCATTTCTGATAGGCCCAGCCTTGGCCAGCAGCTCCTCTGTCTGGGAGCCAGCTGGGATTGGTTCTACAGGGGGTGGAGGAAGCTTCCAGCAGCTTCTCACAGAAGCCACTCCTGTAGTCACCCACCCCCCCAATACCACAACCTAGCATAATAAAATAAATATAATTAATTAAAAAAAAAATCCCACATATCAATTTATAGTTGAGGTGGCAGGCAGCTAGTCTGTTCCTTTGCCTGTATAGATAACTTGTGCAGTTTGGCATTTCATTTTATTTCCTCATTTTAGCACTGGAAAATGTTTATACTGTAGTAGGTACAGTATTTACACAGCATGTTACTAACTGCTTAGCACGAATTAGTGAGGATGTATAGTGCATGTACCTTGCATAGATAATTTGTGCTTAGAGATAGGGAAAGCAATTTCTAACTCCAGGTGTTTTTCCTCCTCAGTTTTTGCTGCATTTGCTAAATACATTTCAAAATACACACAGAGCACTTGCATCCAGGTAAGTTATACTAAATATTAATATCCTGCCCAACTAACCTGAATATGACATCCCCAGAATGGTGTTAGTTTAAAAATAACAACAACAAAACCAAAAAATAAACCCTTAAAACAACAACAACAACAACAACAACAAAACAAAACAAAAAAAACCCACAAAACCCAAAACAAATGAAACCAAATGAAACAAATGAAATGTTGTAGGATTGTGTTTGGGCAGGGATTGTTCTGCTACCTTTTTCTTCACTGCACATTTGCACAGCTTGATTAAAATCTGAGAGTAGTTTTATGTGGTTAATATTGGGATAATTCACATCTTAATCTATCAATTTGTAATGTACAGAAAACAAGTGAGCAGAAGTAATGCTTTGTCTTTCAGAACAGCAGGTAACAGACAACTGATTATGTTGACAACAACCTTCTCGCAGTATCTTTTAAGTAAAAGCAAAGTGCAAGTATATTAAAAGGGTAAGGGAAAGAAATATTCCCAACATACAAGCAAAGATGGAGAAATACCCTAATTGGAAGAAGCATGAACTGCCTGTAAGTACGAACATACTACTTTGTTTAGAAGCCTTCCAAAATCCAAGCTGCTTCCATAATACTCTACAAATTTTTTTAACTGTTGAGTACAATTTTCTGTTGGTGAAGCCACTTTATGAGCACTCTATACAGACAAATAGATCTGAAAATCAGTCTGGCCTTCTCAGAACTCACACTTAAAAATGTCCCTTTTAAGAAAAAAATTATTTAAAGGTCTGATTGTGTCTGTGTGTGACAGGATGCAGCTGCTGTACAATGTGCTGGTATGGCTTTATTGTGTGTGAAAGAAGGTAAGCATAAATCTGTATTTAATAATGGGTACATCAGTCAACTGTAAAATGATGTACTGGAAAAGATGAAGACGTCGTTAACAGCAGAGGTGCCACAAGAGGGTGCTGTGTCTGTGATTTTCATAGCTACAAAATTTGTACAGGTCTGATAGTCTGAAGGGGGCTCTGACACTTGAGGGCATTAAGTAGCACACAGACATCCTGTCTCTTGCACTTAACTTTGCCTCTGTGTCTTAAACTTGCACCCTAGTTTTTGGAAGAAACAGCCTCTGAGGTGAGAGCACCTTGTAGTGTACAGCAACAGACTAAAACTAGAACTGTCTGGTATTCTCCCTTCAGGTCACAAATAACAGGAAAACACAGTTTCTGGGTAGGTTAATGCCAAAAATCCCAACTCTATGTCTAAAAATTGTTGCTTTCAATAAGATAATGCCCATTTATTGCGCTAATTTAAGCACACTATTTTGCCTCATAAACCACAAAGCCCTTACTGTTTTCATACATAGTGAGAGCCATGATTAATGTTTTTCAACTACTTACCCAGGTAAAAATTGCACTAAAGATGCTTTAAAACATGAGGTGTTCTTCTACAGGAATTCATCTATCATCCCAGGAATAAAAAAAAATTCTTCATCAAAAAAGATGAGAAGAATATGTATTAGGGATAGTTTAATCAGAAGCTTTAAAGCAACTGCATTGACATGCACTGAGGTGCCCACCAGCATTGGGAAGGGAAGGAGAAGGTCCAACTGTGAAAGAATAAGTTTTCAGAAAGAAAGAAACGTCTATCAATCTTGCATTCAGTACTTTAAATCACTGGTTGAGTCACGCTTGACTGAGATGCGTACACTTTGTACATGAAAGCACTAAGTTCAGAGGCAGTAGGATGCCACTTTTATTTCTAAAGCTTTTAATTCAATTAAATTTTGAATATTGCATCATCACCACTACCTTTTTTTTCGCACATTTTTCAGCTTGGTGGTCAATGTATACAGTAAGAGATCAGAAAAATTCTCATGAAGTCATCAGTGTTCTGGTGAGGTCAACAAGGATACAGACACAGAACTACAACTTGAAAATCCGGCAGTGAGACAGGGTAGTGTCATGTATGGAACTTCATCATGTGTCAATATTGTGATGGGTTTAGTTCTTCAAGAGAGCAGAGCAGTTGTTAGTCGCTGTAAAGTTGTTTATTGTAAAAGGCACATCAGTCTCAAAAGACAGAGTCCCAAGTGTTAAATTCTGTGCTAAAAGCTTCAGCCTAGAGCCCCGAATAGAGGTCAAGTCCTGATTAGAAACAGAAGCAGTTCCTGGTGCAAGGCCCTGGGAGGGCCGAAGTTGCAGCAGCAGCTCCTGTCTTCTTCCAGGCGATGATGAGGGCAGTGAGGAGAGAGGAGAGAGACAATGAGAGAGCTCTCACTCCAATACACGGATTTTTGTTTACAAATTACCCAGTGACCTAAAACCACGAACCTGAAGCATTTCTTCTAAACCTATTAGAATTCTAGTTCTATAGTACAGAAGTTTAAGCATAACTTGCATATATGGCCTATCTGTTCTATCTGAAGAACGTAAGCAATATTCTTACTATATTTTTATTATGTCTAGAACTATGTTTTCGAGCTCTCACTGAAGCGTGTTTTTGAAGCTTGTTTTTAACACCAGATTCGAGTGCTTTTGCTCCTTAAGGCACTTAAAACATATTTTTACTTACTTAAACTTACTTACTTACATACTTAAAACTTAAGCTTACAGCTCCATTTCATGTCTGTGTAGCTTAATATATTTTAATTTCTGTAAAGGCTTTAATTCAAACCCTGCATTTTGAGGAACTCAGAGAGGCCTCTGTTTCTCACACTCAAACAATCATCCATGTTTCTGCCTCTTCTAGGAAAATTATGTTATTTTTAACAAAGCTGTAAATTATTTAATCTTGTAATAGCAGATGTCCGCATCTCGGTGTCTGACAGAGTAAATATTAAAATTAAGAAAATAAATTATTCTGTGTGATTCTTGCCCAGGATTTTCAAAAGTAGGCTTACTAAAATGAGAATTTTAACTTCAGAGAGTGAAGGGCTTAAAAAGTTAACAGTTCTTGCCAATTACATCTTATATGTCTTTTACAGAGCCATGATAAAAAAATTAGTAGTAAATCAGCTCTTAACAATGAGTTGGTTTGATTTAATAATCAAGTTAATAATTAAAATCTTGTCTCATAGCCTTGCTGTCTTTCAGGGAATTTCTATATGTGTCAATTCAGGAAATTACTCCATCAAAGCCTCACTCTGAAGAATGGCTTTCTCAATCTCTAGCACTGTTTCTGGGAGAGATTTTTCTAGACTGACAGTAATGAAGTTTTCTGGTGCACTAGGTGGCTCTAGAGTATCAAACTGAGACTTGAGAAGTTCAAGTGGCATAAAATGACCTCTCCGCTTCTCCAAGCGGCCAGCAATGATGTCCATAGGTCCATCCAAGTGAACAAAGAGAATCTTCAGTGCTGGTTTTTCTCTTGGTTGCTCTGGCTGGTTGGTTTCAATTGCAGATGCTCCACTAATTAACACACGCCTGTACATCTTTTTCAGTGCAGAACAGGCCAGAATTGTATCTTGTCTAGATGTGTCTTCTCTATCAAAAAGATAAAAAAACAAAAACCTGTACATACATGTACATATCTACATGGGGTACCACAAAAATGGCTTGTTAGTTCTGCTGAACAAGGTAGACAAGCCCTAGCTCCCCAAGAAGGACAGCCATGGGAGTACTGGCATATTGACAGTGGTATTTGAGTAATTTTGATAGGATTTTGAAACCAAATTTCTAGTCCAGGTAAAGACGTGATTTCAAAGTGAGGTCAACCTAGCCAACCTTCTGGTAAAATCTCAATCTTAGGCACCTTGTCTATTAGCCACCATTCTTTCCTAAATTAAATTCAATTCTAGCACAAGAAAGTGTCAAGATAATTTCCTTAATTGCTGAGAACAGGAACTAAATATCCAGAGAAACACCTATCCATTACTGGTAAAATTACTGTACTATGCTCTCTGAAGGTAAGTGGCTGATAAACAATACAGACCACTGTTCTTAAATACACAGTATTTTCAACACCTGTTGTCACTGTCTTGGATTTAACTGTAATTTATGTTTCCTGCAACTTATTGGCAGCATTGTATATATACTCACTTCAGATAAAACAAGTGATTGCAGGTCAGTGAATGCTTTGCAGATATTTTCTGCTGACAAGGTTTCTTAAAGCATTTAACTCTGGGTGTGTCTGTTCCACCAAAAAGCAAATCCAGAATTAGTTGTGTCTATGAAGAGTGAATAAAATTCCTGCCTAAGAAAATATATTCTATAATAAAATTAAGATCAGGTATAAACCTATTTAAAAATCATTCTATGGTCGTCAGATTTTGGTTCAAAGGGAAGTAAGAACTTCTAACACCTACCATTATCACCTAGGTAAGTCACTGACAGCCTCAGCTACTAATAAATACTAATAATTAAACATTGCATTAGGCTCTTTTAAAATATAGTTGATTTTGTAAGTTTCCAGAACTGGGTGGTGGCATTGAGCTATCATATAACATAAAGTAATGGACCCAGCAAATCAATCCAGACAAATTTCTCAGTGAATTAACCCATGTGCCAATGAGGTAGGCTCAGCTAATGTGCACAAGCAAGTGTAAAGCCTGTCCAAACAGTCCCTGCCTTACCAACCTTTTCCTTGTTTGGGACATACTCCAGTCCCCTCATCGTTGTTGGATGCTCTCCAGTATGTCCATACCTCGCTCATAATGAGGAGCCCAGAACTGATGCAGCAGTTCAGTGCAAAAGGAGAGGGGAAGAATCACCTCCTTTGACCTGCTAACAATACATGGTCTAATATAGCCCAGGATTCAGGATTTTGCTGGCCTGCCTTGCCAGAAGAGCACATTGCTGGCATATGCCCAGCTGGGGCTGTCCACCGTAACTCCCTCAGGCCCTTTTCTGCTGCTTTCCAGCTGAGTGCCCCTTAGTGTCTGTACCAGTGCCTGGGGTAGTACCTTCCCAGGGGCAAGATTTTGCATTTTGAAAAGGTTCCTACCAATCCGTTTCTACAGCCTTTCAAGGTCCCTCTGCATGAGTTACTCCTCCCATTTTGGTATGATCTGCAAATGAGCAGAGTACACTCAAGCAAACAAACTTGACACTGTATCTTATTCAAAATAAGAGTATTTTATCCTACTGCGGTTATTAGTGTATTTTGTGGTTATGTTCTTTGTAAGTAGTTAATGTCAGGCTTATTAATAAACTAGATCCTTGAAATTATTTTTACACAGATAGTAGAAAAACAACCCATCATTGGCAACTATTTGTCACTTTACTTCTCAAGGATTAGCTCACCATCAGCAATTACTATGGCAGTTTAGATTAGTAAAAATAGAATGGCTTACTACCTGCAGCATTTCTTTGCACTACCACTTACACTTCTGCTTTGCAATGCAGTGGGGAAAAACACATCTGGTACTTCTGTCTTTAACTAAAACTTTTTGAAACTAGATATTCTCTTACCTCCTTAGTATGTCATGCAATGTGCAAAGCCAAGGAATCCTGTCCTAGAAAGAAAACAAGTTAGTTAAAAATTCTTCAGAAATTAACTTGAAACAATTGCTTCAGCATCTCAGGTATCTGACTAGAGGTAAAAATTAGCATTAAACTGTACAGCAAGTTCCGTTTTGAATCTCTTTCTTCCTATATAGATTTACTACCACTGCCTGAAGGCTAATAAGAAGTGCTAGGCGTATTATGAATAAGATGCTTTTAGTGAAATAGTATTTTTTATATTACAGGTCCCTGCAAGTATATGATGGAAGTAATATGTATGCAAGTGTAGAATGCACCTCTGAAGGACAGGCAACTTATCTCTTGCTTCTATTATACTATTCAAATGTACAGCCAGAGCTGTTAATCCTTTTCCCTGATATAGTGTCATACACACACCTAATCCCCATTTTTCGATACAAGTTGAAGCTTTCAGAAACAGACAGTTCTAAATTTAGTTATCTGCAATAATTATATTTATGTCAGTAGCACTCACAAATAAATGTAACCACAACCACAGTTTCTCAAAACTTTTGCCCATTACTAAGGCAAACAGGAGTGATTGATCCGATGCTTGCTTAATCTGAAATTTTAAGCTGCCCCAAACTTCAGTCATGCCTGAAAACTAAGCAACTGCTCCCATTTAATCTTTCAATGCTAGTACTGTTGAGTGAGCACAACAAACAACACAGACAAATAAATGCAACTATTTTTTGTTGCTGTCATTACACAGTAACTTCTCCTTGGCATTCAAGGCCTTCTTAATTTTGCACTTCTCATTTTCCAGAAGAAATGCTTTCTTCCTGCACCATGTACCAATGGTTTAGTCATTCAAGTGTACAATGCTTATACAGACAACATACAGGCTTCCAACCACTAGTGAAAGATCCAAGTTTTTAACCAGAATCTAGAATATTTTTTTCAGTCTAAATTGGCTAAGGACATCTCCCAAAAGATTTGAGGGACTAAAAATAAAAAAGTGGAAACCTTACAAAAAAAAAAAAAGGGTAGGAGCTCTGCAAAATTTTTCTATTACAGCTAAATTCTCAAAGTCTTTTTCAAAAGATTCACTTACTGTGTCTTGCCCTGTTTCTAAGCTCTGTATGGTTTTCAATTGATTTCATATATTCACCAGGATTGTTTAGTTTATATTCTTTATTTAAAAGTCTTTACCTACATTCATAAGTATAGATTTCTCTAGAACTAGTGGACATGAACTTTTAAAATTCTTCCTGATTCTGTACAGGAAAAGTGGCTTTAACTGTAAACCACTGTCCTAATTGATGGTAAATGGAAAACCCCTTTTTTCAAGCTGTGCCATTAAGCTATTAGTACTTCAAGCATTGCCAGCCCCTCAAGGGAGGGGACTGTCCTGCTCTGCTCGGCACTAGGGTGGCATCACGTGGAGTCCTGTCTGCAGTTTTGGGTGTCATAATTTAAGAAGAATATAAATATATTAGAGAGCATCCAAAGGAGGACCTTGAGGATGCTGAGGGGCTGTGAGAGGAAGCTGTGTGAAGAGTGGCTGAAGTCACTTGGTCTGTGCAGCCTGGAGGAGAAGTGAGGACAGACCTCACTGCAGTTACAAATTCATTGTGAGGAGAAGAGGAGGGGCAGGCACTGATCTCGGCTCCATGTTGACAACTGACAGGACCTGAGGGAATGGCCTGAAGTTGTGTCAGGGAGGTTTACATTGACTGTTAGAAAAAGGCCCCACCCCAGAGGGTGGCTGTGCACTGGAACAGGCTCCCCAGGGAAGTAGTCACCGCACCAGCCTGACTAAGTTCCAAAGCATTTAGTCAGTGCTCTCAGGCACATGCTGCAATTCAGAATCATAGAATCATTAGGCTTGGAAAAGACCTTCAAGATCATCCAGTCCAACCTTTGACTGAATACCACCATTCTAATTAAACCATAGCATTAAGTGTCTACTTGTTTTTTTTAAAACACTTCTAGGGATGGTGACTCCACCACTTTTCTGAGCAGCCAGTTCCAATGCTTAGCCACTCTTTCAGTGATGACATTTTTCCTAACAGTCAACTTGAATCTCCCCTGGCACAACCTGAGACGATTTTCCCTGGTCCTATTCCTTGTTACCGGGGAGAAGAAGCTGACTCCCATCTCACCACAACCTCCTTTCTGGTAGAGACTGATAAGGTCTCCCCTGAGTCTCTTTTTCTCCAGGGTAAAAATACCCCCGGTTGCCTCAGCCACTCCTCACAGGACTTGTGCTCCAGACCCTTCACCAGCCTTGTTTCCCTCCTCTGGATTGACTCCAGCACCTCAGTGACCTTCCTGAATTAGGGGGCTCAGAACTGAACACAGCACTCAAGGTGTGGTCTCACGAAGGTAAGGTACAGGTACAGGAGAACAATTGCTTCCCTGGTTTTGCTGGCCACACTGTTGCTAAGAGAGGCCGGGATGCCATTGGCCTTCTTGGCCATCTGAGAGTGCTGGCTCATGTTCACCTGCTGCTGACCAGCACTCCCAGGCCCTTTTCTGCTGGACAGCTTTCCAGCCTTTCTGCCCCAAGGCTATAGTCTTGCCTGGGGCTGTTGTGACCCAAGGGCAGGACCTGGCACTTCACCTTGTCGAAAATTATATGATTGGCCTCAGCCCATTGATCCAGCCTGTCTGGATCCTTCTGCAGAGCCTTCCCACCCTAGAGCAGATCAGCACTTCCATCCAAATTGGTGTAACCTGCAGACTTACTGAATGCAGTCAATCCCCTCCATATCATTAATAAAGATGTTAACCAGGATTTGCCTTGACGCTGATCCCTGGGGAAACCCAGTGACTGACCATCAGCTGTAGCTCCATTCACCAACACCCTCTGGGCCTGACCACCAGCCAGTTTTTAACCAGCAAACGGTACACTCATCCTAGACATGGGAAGCCAGTTTCTCAAGGAGGATGCTTTCAGAAATGGCATCAAAGGCTTTACTAACGTCCAGGGAGACATATCCACAGCCTTTCCCTCATCCCTTAGTTCACCTGGATATAGAAGGAGGTAAAGTTACCTTTCCGAAACCCCTGCTGTCTGGGCCTGATGTGCTGGTTGTCCTGCATGTGCTATTGATGTACTCAATCTGTTCCATAACCTTCCGTGACACTGAGGCCAGACTTACAGGCATGCAGCTCCCTGAATCCTCCTTCCAACCCTTCCTGCAGATGGACCACACTGGCCAACCTCCAGCCATCTAGGACCTCCCAAGTTAACCAAGAGTGGTGATAAATTATGAAAAGTTATTTCAGAGAAAGGTAACAGATTTTTGGAGTTTTCTTGTGCAGGGCCACATGATGGATTCTGTGGGTCCCTTCCAACTCAGGATATTCTAAGATTCTATGATTCTAATCCAAAACTGCAGCTCTGTGTGTGGACTGTAGAGGGGGAGATTCCTCACAAATCCTGAAACATCTGCATACCACTTGTGAGCTGACAAGCATTTGATAAACTACTTTTTTACACAGAATCTTTTTTGACACAATAAGCCTCCCTCACCTTACCAAATTCAGACCTGTGTTTACAGTCAGACTAGTTTACATAGTAAACTACAATCTATGTCAACA